TAGGGGAGGAGGGAGGAGAAGAGTGTGTGTGTGTGTGTGTGTGTGTGTGTGTGTGTGTGTGTGTGTGAGAGAGACCGATTGTGAGTTGGCTGGTGCGAAATTCTCAAACAGTGCACTGTCTCTTTAAGAAAGGCACTCAGCCACTCACCTCAGCAGCAGCAGCTCCGAGCCCTCCTGAGCCAGGCTGTGTCCTCTCTGCCCTGCTCTGTGGAGATGGGGTACAGGGGCGAGGGGAGAAGGACACCCTGACATCAGCACCCTCCCCCAACCCCCACTCTGTGCAGCCAGCAAGAGGGTCCCAGTAGCAGTTGCAGGATGGAGCAACGTGGGGGTGGGGGCAGCACCCAAACACATGCTGCCGGCTGTGCACACTCAGCTAATCAGCTGGGTGGCACTTAAATCTTTCCTGCGTGGCTGCCCAAGCACGCAGCTTACAAGAAACACAGGTAGAGAGTCTGAGCCTTTTGTCCCAATTTTATTTTTAAGGCAAGCTAAAAAATGTCTGGGTCTGTAAATGTGTAGAAACTTGGTGTTGGAACAATTCTTCCGTAGTTTAAGGCATGCAGCTTCTAGCTGGGATTTAGAGAGCACTATATTGAATTTTTATATTATATTCTCAGTTGAGCATAGTCAGTGTGCTTGATGCTGTATGAACAGGACAACAACCCTAAGGAGCTTCAGACCTTCTCTGGAACAATTCAAAAGTGGATAATTTGAAGGATGCCAAGACAGCACAACAAAAGAAAATGTTAAGTGCTGTAGTGAAAGAGATTATTTACCATACTACATTGGTTCTCCAACTTTTTCAAATTATTGAATACTTAAACTAGAAATCCTCTCACGATCCACCTCCCATATCTGCTTAAACTGGAGTTAAAGTTATAACCAGCCCACATTAGCCAGAATAATTGTGTTTGCAGAAAATGGTTTCCTAGCTAGGGGAAAGTGCAATATTGACAGGACCTCTAGAAATTAGGTGACGATAAACTTCATCTAATTCAATACTAACTTACGTCCAGTTCCCTTTCCTCCCAAATATTGCACCCTCTCTATTTTTTATCTCCTGGAATGTACTACTTTATACATATTAGTATCAAATCTCTCCTTGCTGCTTCAAAGCCTCTGTTCTTATTTGGCCAAGTTATTGCATGGTTGCTTCTGTTCACTTGTGTTTTGTCTCTCCAATTTTGCTGCCATCAAGAAATTCATGGTTGATGCTTACGCCAAAGGAATACCCCACAGAGCCTTGTTCACAGGCTTCCTATTTTCTGGGATGATGTTTCAATTATGAACTTTTCCTTTATTGTGACAGACCAGCTTTAGAACATCAGCAGTCCACTGTGTACAATTTGAGAACTTTGGTCTTAATGCATTGATAGAAACAACTTGACTATTTGAACTATGTAGATAATATATGCCCATTATAATTCAGAGTAATTCCTTATATCCTGGAGTATAGGACTGCACAAATGAAGGTGAAAAACAAGATATAGATATGTCTACACTCAATATAACTCCCACGGCTGACTGTGTCAGCTGATTCGGGCTCATGCTATGGGGCTACAAAATTGTAGTTTAGACATCCAGTCCAGTCTGAACTGCTTTCCTAGCAGTTCTAGCAGTTGCTACTTCAGACAGCATATATATATTTCTTTTTATCAATCAGAAGTTTGGTCTTCTGTATTTTCTCTTGAAACTATGTTAAAGATGAGGCTGGTCCCTTCTAAGTAGTTCTGTTCATACTATTGATTAAACTGTCAGTGATGCTATATCTCATATCCTTAAGCCTCAGTGTGCAATATGACAGCATCTACATTGGTCAGAAAAGCTCTCTTTCTGAAGGAATAGATGGCTGATTTATTCTCCAAAGCCTGGTCTTATCTATTGATAAACTAGAGAGACTTTGAGTCTGAGCATGCTGCGAGTTACCTAGGTTTAATACACCACAGATCCTTCTGAAGGAATTCTGTGGCTGCTTTAAACTTTTAAAAGGTAGCTGTGATAGAGTGAATTGAGGATGGATCTAGAAATTGGGAGATCTGTTTTTTTGTTCCTTTTTTGGCACTAACATATTGAACAAGTCACTTCTGTTAATCTCAATTACCCTATCTATAAAATGTACGGCCCTACCAAATTCAAGGCTATGAAAAACATGTCATGGACTAGTGAAATCTGGTCTTGTGTGCTTTTACCCTGTACTATACAGATTTTACAGGCGAGCCCAATGTTTCTCAAATTGGGGGTCCTGACCCAAAAGGGAGTTGCAGGGGGATTGCAAGGTTATTTTAGGGGGATTGCAGTATTGCCACCCTTACTTCTGTACTGCATCCAGAGCTGGTGGGCTGGAGAGCGGTGGCTGTTGGCCAGGCACCCAGTTCTGAAGGCAGCGACCCGCAGGCAGCAGTGCAGAAGTAAGTGTGGCAATACCATATCATACCATCCTTACTTCTGCGCTGCTGCTGACGGCGGCTCTGCCTTCAGAGCTGGGATCCTGGCATGCTCTCCAACTGCCCAACTCTGAAGGCAGCACTGCCGCCAGCAGCAGCGCAGAAGTAAGGGTAGCAATATCACAACACCCTCCCCCCACGATAACCTTGCAGCCCCCCCAAAAACTCCTTTTTGGGTCAGGAACCCTACAATTCAACACCCTGAAATTTCAAATTAAAATAGCTGAAATCATGAAATTGATGATTTTTAAAATCCTATGACCATAAAATTGACCAAAATGGACCGTGAATTTGGTAGGTTAAAATGAGAATGTTTACTCATCCTTGTGAAGTGACATATACTACTTTTGGGGAAATCGTGCTCCAAAAAAATAAAAATAAAAAGTTGCATAACTTAGGTCGACTTACCTCCGTAGTGTAGACAAGCCTTAGCATCAGGGAAATGACTGAATGCTTCAAGGCACATTTCTCTTGAGTAGTGACCTCTTCTAGATGGACAGGTCAGAAGAGCTGTTAGATATTTGTAAGACAGCCAGCTGCATGTCGTCACCATCTCTGAAGCTGTGTTGGCTGAATGTGGCAACCTCCTCTGATGTGCACTTCTCAGAACAATGCTATGCATTAGGAGTAATACTTTCTTGTTGATATTACTGTTGCTTTTAGAAACTCCCAAGATTCATGACTGGTGTAGAGTCACGAACAATAACATTTATTACCCCAAAATTCTGGTTCTTACAATTTCTTCTGTACAGCCCAAGCTTACACTTTCAGTTATTCTGAATTGGCTAGTTTTACTGCTGTTTACATTGTTTATGCTTTATTAGTGTTAGAGATCACTCCTCTGGAGAAATCAACTGAGAATTCAAGCTGACAAGCTCTTCTCTCTTTTATGTGGAGGTGACATGGCTCAGCCTCAGTTGTACTTTTCTCAACCTGATAGAAATGAAATGTATCCCATAAGGTGTCTGATGTGAAGATTCCAGTGAATAAAATCCAATATATTTTACACTTTTAAAATAGCTCAGAAAATGTACAGAACTGTTTAAAATAATAATAAAAATGTAAATCCCTTAGAAGCCGCTGGAGTTCAGGGGTTGGTGGAAGTGGAGGAGGATCCTCTGGTAGATCATCAGCTGGAGCTCGGGATTCCCGAAGGCAAACCAGAGTTATTCGCACTGGACGTGATAGAGGATCTGGACTGTTGGGTAGTCAGCCACAGCCAGTGATTCCAGCATCAGTAATTCCAGAGGAACTCATTTCACAGGTAGGTGAGCTGGCAGAACTTTGCCTCTGTTGATAAACCTTCGGAACCTGCTTATAGATTGATAATTGGTGGGATACTATTTGGTATTGTGTGTTCTCTTTGCCTTTTAATTTCCTCTTCTATCTGAAAAACCTGACCTTGTCTAGCTGAATTTTTTTATTTTAGATTATCAAGTTGATATTTAAGGACACACTAGTGCCAGTTTCCCCATAATGGGAATGACTGATGAGACTGGTAGATATGGGGAGGTGGTGACTTTAGATATGAGAGCCTGCACGTTGAGGGAGCTGAAGGCAAGGATCAGAACTTAGAGGCGGAGATGAGGCATGGCATACATACACAATGTTGTAAAGTTGGTAATCTGCAGATACAGGGGATGTTGCAGGAAAAAAGTTCATGTTCAAGAATGGATGTCAAGGTTATTGACAGTAGAGGCAAACGAGTCTCTGTTAAGGAGGGTAAAGGAGATGGAGTTGGTTTGGATTGCTTTATTTGTCCAGTAGAAACACTTCGGTCACAATCCACGGATCACAAAGCCCTGCGTAACTGTGCTCATGTCCACATTAGAAAGTGTAACACTCTTAGGCCTGGTCTACACTAACCCCCCAATTCGAACTAAGGTACGCAACTTCAGCGACGTGAATAACGTAGTTGAAGTCAATGTACCTTAGTTCGCACTTACCGCGGTCCAGACGCGGCAGGCAGGCTCCCCAGTCAACTCCGTGTACTCCTCACGCCGAGCAGGATTACCGGAGTTGACGGGGAGCACTTCTGGGTTCGATTTATCGCGTCCAGACAAGACGCGATAAATCAAACCCAGAAGTTCGATTGCCTGCCGTCGAACCAGTACGTAAGTATAGGCAAGCCCTGAGTGTCCAATACAGATGAAAGAAAGTCAGTTTGTGGCATTCTTACCAACTGGAATTCTAAGAGCAGTTGGGTAAGTAGTAAGACTCTGTACTGACAATGGGTCATTAGACTCCCATAGTCATCACAGGCTGTCCTGGGCATGCTCTTTGCTTTCCTCAAGGATCAAAGTAGTAGGCAACAGATTGAAATTGACCTGATTCTTGTAAATTTTTTACTGCTACCTGCAGACTCAAGAAGACAGCATTTCATCCACTTACTTCATTTCACGTTTGGAAAGCTTTCTTTGCATTAGAATTTTTTTTTTTAATAAAAGCTTAAATGCTGGAGAAGCTGAGGATACTTCCTAGGAAAGTTTGTTTGTCATTAGTGATTGAGGGAGTTTTACAAGACCTGGTTCAACAAAGAAAAAGGAATAGATGCATAAGCAAAGGAGGGTAGACTTTATTTAAAAAAAAAGAGAAAGCAAGCAGCAGGTTGAGAATTCAATCTTTAAAAGTCTGTATAGGAGGGCATAGCAGCCCATGTGTTTGAATGAGACAGAGGTGGGAGAGAGCCACTTTGGCAGAAAGGAAGGGATTAACAACATTATGGAACCAGTTGCAGCTCCATAGTTAAGATTGAGTTGAGATTTTCATTTACAGCAGGGCTTAAACATCTTTATGTATAGAAAAATACAGTATATTCTCCCCTTACTCTTTGAGTATAAAATTAATTTTTTGAGAATTTACGAGTAAATCCATTAAGTAGTTCAAAATTAAATTTAAAATGTGTCCTTTAAGAAATCTAGCACCTAGAGATCAACATCTTTGTTCTCCATAATGATTTTAACAACAGAATAATAGACTCCGCAGACTTCCTAAATAGCTAAAAGTCACTGAAATCTGGGTATATAGGCTGCATTTGAAAAACTTTTTTATGGTTGATGGTATTTTTTTCCTGTTCTTCATAACTGAGTTTCTTCAGACTCTGCTGAAGAATAATCTGCTACAGAGAGAATTCCATGAAGAACCTGGCCTCTCCATAGTAGTCACTATCTCCCTTTGTTCTCAGTGGGACGGGTGGTCCTCTAAGCCTTCTCACAGCATAGGGTGACGCTCTTACCCGAGAGCATCTTGACTTCTTTCTCATTTGAACCAATGGGTTTTTTTTCTTGAGGATCTCTGAAAGAGAAGATTTTATGTACCATCCTCCTTCTACAGAAGAACTTTTGGGTTATGAAAAATATTGGCCCCAAACCCATTAATCCTAAATATTCCCTTCCAAAAGGTGTTGTACCAGATCTATTCAACAGAGAAGGTAGCAGGGTGTGTGCGTGTGTGAACTTCCATACCTTAACCCTTTTTAGTTATGAGTGTCCTGGGTTTAGCACTCTTGGTTATGAGTCAATTACTACATTCTGACTACATTCCCATTTTTTCTATATTCCCAGATAAAAACTACATTAAGATGGAATTAAGGTTAAAAGTACACATAGTAATTTAGAGTATTATGTATTTTACTCTGAAAATTACTGTGTGTACTTTCAACCTTAACGCCATCTGAATGTGTTTTTTATCTGGAAATATAGAATGAAATCAAGCAATAATAATGCATTAACATCTGTCAGCTTTTTTTTTATAAAGGAAATTGGAAGATCTTGTAGTATTGGGGAAAGTATGTGGGGCAAAGGAATGAAAATGCAGTCTTGGCTCCCATATAACAAGTTATCTTTCAGCTGTATTATCTTTGTTCATTAGCTTCTTCACCTTGGCATTCTTGGCATTCTTAATTGCCATATGCAAACTATCACATGTGGTTTTTTGGAACTTACAAAACCCAAATCCCAAAATCTTGCTTTTCATTTGGAGACTTGATTTCCATGTACTGGTGAATCAAATTGTTGACCATTGGCTTTCATCACTATGCTTGTCTTTTTGAGAAATCAACAGTAGCGCTCCAACTTTTCGCTACTTCAGGAAGTTTCTCTTGTAGAGAGATCACTGAGTGATGGTTGGTGAATTGGGAATGACAAATAACAAACAGTGTTCTGCATTTTATAGGCACAAGTCGTTTTACAAGGAAAGTCCAGAAGTGTCATTATACGAGAACTCCAGCGGACAAATCTTGATGTAAATCTTGCTGTAAATAATTTGCTGAGCCGTGATGATGAAGATGGAGATGATGGAGATGACACAGCAAGTGAATCATATCTACCTGGAGGTTTGTATATTGTGATACTTACTTTTTTTCCATCTTTCAAATACTGTTGAGCTCTCCTGTTTCAAAAGGGTTATCTGAAAATGCAAACAAGTTCTCAGCTCTCTGTTTGAACATCAACAATGTGCTCTGTGGTGTGCAAGGTACACAATGAAGATAGTCCTTGCATCCAGGAGGTTTCAGTCTAAGATGAGAGTAACAGGTTGCACTGGGAAGCCTGGAGAGGGTAATAGCTTTGATGTTTTAAAAAGACTAACTACACCTCTACCCCAATATAACGATGTCCTCAGGAGCCAAAAAATCCTACTGCGTTATAAGTGAAACCGCGTTATGGCGAACTTGCTTTGATCCGCCGGAGTGAGCAGCCCCGCCCCCCCTGGAGCCGCTGCTTTACTGCGTTATATCCGAATTCATGTTATATTGGGTCGCGTTATATCGGGGTAGAGGTGTATTGTCTTTGCTACTTTGTGGGTAACACACAAAGTGAATCTTTTGGATGCTGGGCGTCACATCATCAGCATTACAAATTATGCTACTGTTCAGTGAGATGACTGCCATGCAGTTTGCCATAGATTCTAATTCTAATGATGAAATTAATTAAATTTTGAATCTTAGTCTTTACGTGGTAATGTGAACTTTTAAGATGCATTTTTTTAGAGAAAAATGTGTACAGCTTTCTATTAAGGATCTAGCTTAATAGTCTTTCTCAGTTTTATTGAGAGCATCTATTCTTTAGCCCCAAAATATCCTCATAACTAAATCTTATAGCAGTGCTGGAGTGTTGCTGTCGTGCGGGTTGAGCCTTTGTTGAAATAGTGTCTTTCCTGTGTAATTGCTTTTAAAAATCCTTCAGCCTTTTCTTGCATTGACTAATATTTCCGTAATTGGACTTTACTCAGTAGGAAAACATGCTTGAAAATATGTAGTAGCCAAGTCTAATGTTTGTATGTTCTGGTTAGGTGCATAGTATGAAAATCAAACGTGTAAACTCTGAGTGCATAGCCGTTTTTCTTTTTGTATGATAGAATGACATTTTAGTATATTTTTCTAATAAATGGGTTTTTCTGCTCATCTGGTTCACCAAGAAACTCATGGGCTTCCTTCATCTTTATCTTGTCTACAATGTGTTTGGACAAAATGTGTTTTCCTGCATTTGCATCTGACAAACTTCTTTATTTTGCTTTAGAATCAAGAGTCCTTTGGTTGAACCTGTAGGCACAGAGAAAGCAAATGAATGCACTTTTGTTCCACCTTTCTCTCTAGTAATTAGTTGCACAATCTGTCTGCCAGAGATTCAATTGAGGAAATAAGTTCATGTTACTCTCTTCCCAAATTTATTCAAAGTAAATATTCTTACTCCTGAGAAACCAAGGATGCATCAGTCCTGAAATTGCCTTCAGCTCTGTAGGTAAGCACCCTGTTTAGACCAGAGTTTCTTTCCACCCCAATCCTGTGCTGAGTTAACAATTCTCTGGATTAGTACTACTTCAGATTATAGCGGCAAACTTGCAGGGACCATCTGACAATCTATGACTTGGAACACGTGTCTGTGAGTACTGTGACTTCAGTTGATGACTTTAGACTGTCTTGACTCAATTTAAGATAATTAGTCATGAGCACAATGTCTAAGCTTTCAGTAAATTCCTAGAAAACAGTTTCTTCCTTAGCTAAATTTTTTTATGATCCTCCCTTTGGAAAGACCAAACCTTTCTAGGTAAGACTGCAACTTCCTGACATAAAATTGTAATCTTTCTTATCTTATCCCACACTCCCTCTGAGAAAATTGATTTATTTTCAATTTTTTTGTGGGCAAAGGGATTGGAAATGACAACAGAAATGGCACTTTTGACACCCTTGAGCTCCAGTCTGGACGAAGTTAATCCAGAATTCCTAGTTCTCAGAACATGCTTTCCCTTGTCTTTCATAAACTACATTAGATTTTTACAGACTAAAGTTGATAACTAAGAATTGTCACCCTTCAAAGAGTGTTGAACTATAGTCCAGATCTGGACATGGTAGAAGGCCAGCTTAAAAATATGATGACTGTATGCCTGTGACTCTATTCTTTTGTATATTGAATTTTGCTTACAAGCTTAGCAATTCTTCTAGCTCTTCAGAGTCAAGTTAATTGTTAGGATTAGAATAAAGTATAGGCTCCAGGAAAAATGGTGGACCATAATACCTTCCCGGCATCTCTTGTGAAAAATAGTGACACTCTCCTTCAGAAGACTCCACAACAGACACAAATTGAAATTTTGATTGTCTAATTTCTCATTCACACCTAGCATAACCTTGCCATAAGTCTTCTGAGCCTTCTTTATTTTCTGAAGTTGTTCCTCTCCTCTTGCCTCTGGATATTCTTTTGAACGTACAGCGCTATGGTCTTGAAGAGGGGAAAAAATTACAAGAAAACCAACATTTACGATCCAGTCTCTCAAGTGATAACTCCAAGTAACTTTTTTTTAAGGGTGATCCTGAATAGTTGTTTGTTTAAAAGTGGGGTTTGCCTCTTAGCTTTTGATCTTGTAGAATGAATGCTTGAAAGTTGTGGGTTTCTGCTTGTTTTTAAAACCTTGGAAAAGCAGGAATGTCAAGGTTGGAGGGCTTCTTGAGTTCTTCAGAAGTGTTTATTTTAAACTCTGGCCCCTTAATTACACCTCTACCCCGATATAATGCGGTCCTATATAACGCGGTAAAGCAGCGCTCCCGGGCATGGGGCTGCTTTACCTCGTTATAGCCAAATTTGTGTTACCGCAAGCGGTTCCTCTGCACCCGAGTTACTTGCTGTGGCCCTCCCCAGCTCACCTCCGTTCCACCTCCTCCCACAATTGCGCGGCAGCTCCGCTTCTTCCCTCTCCCTCCCAGGCTTGCGTTTTCCTGCATTTGCATCTGACAAACTTCTTTATTTTGCTTTAGAATCAAGAGTCCTTTGGTTGAACCTGTAGGCACAGAGAAAGCAAATGAATACACTTTTGTTCCACCTTTCTCTCTAGTAATTAGTTGCACAATCTGTCTGCCAGAGATTCAATTGAG